CAGTGTGACAGTGACAGTGTGACAACGCGGGTGTCTCCGTGTCCCCAGCACAGCCTGGCCAAGGCGCTCTACGACAACAAGGCCGAGTGCTCGGACGAGCTGGCGTTCCGCCGAGGGGACATCGTGACGGTGCTGGAGCAGCACGTGCCGGGCAGCGAGGGCTGGTGGCGGTGCTCCCTGCACGGCCACCACGGCCTGGCCCCCGCCAACCGCCTGCAGCTCCTGCCGCCCTCCGCCCAGCCGCCAGCCGCACACGGCATCTACCAGGTGCCCTCCGTGCCCTCCGTGCCCTCCGTGCCCTCCGTGCCCAAGGCCACGGCGCTGTCCAACACCTACGAGAAGATGGAGGGCTGGGTCCAGCCCCAGGCGCTCCCTGCCCAGGCCGTGTACCAGGTGCCGGCCCTGGCGGCGCAGCTGCTCAGCGAGAGGACCAAGCGCTCCACGCACCAGGTGAGCACTGAAAAAAGCAGATGTTATTGTTAAAATAATGGCTGGGAGTAGGGGAATGAGGAAGCCTGAGATTTTTTTTCAGTGGGGTTTGTAGCAGAAGAATGATGGTGTTTAGGAAAGTCGCATCAATTTATAGCATAGTGTGAGAAATGCTGTTCCGGGCTACAGATGAGAGTGTCTATATTGTGTACTCTATATTCTCTATATTCGGTATTCCCTCGCCTTTCTGACAGTTTAAAACAGCTGTAAAACAGCACAAGAAGTAAAGACTATACCATTTGTTTGGGAGAATCTATAAATTATTTACAAAGTTAAAATAACAAGACACAGAACTTTCTCCAGCAGCCATGCAGGGCTGGAGCACATGCAGAAAAATGGAAGCCTTTTCATCCATCTGCACAGGAACATGATTAATAATTTTCTAAAAATCACCCTTTGGTGTGTGATTGCTGGGTTTGGTCTGGTTTTTGCTGTCTCCAGCAGCTCAGCAAGCTCAGCATGCTGCTGCCTCTCTCTTGTGCTGTCACTAGGCTTGCACCAAGCCAGCAGCCCCTGCTAGACATGCAGAAGGACACAAAGTTTTGCTGTGTACCCCCAACCAGTTTCTCTCCCAGCCTGTTTTTGCTGCTGCTGAGACGTTGACCAAGGTTTACAGAAGGAGAGCTGCCACCAGTTCCCCGAGTTATAGAGAAGAACAAACTGGTTTTCCAGGGTTTCATTACAGCTCCCTGGCCTGGCTCTTCTTCCTCCCAGTTCCTTGTGTTTGACATCAAACATACATGGAACATGCAATTTGATTACATCTCACCGGTTTTTAGCATCAAAACCTTGTGCTTTCTTCAGGAAAAAAATGAGTGGGGAATGTTTCATAATGAAAGGGAAATAGAGCAGGTGGGGATGCAGTTCAAGCGCGAGGTTTTGTTCAGCTCCATGAGCTCTCCAGCCCTGGGTGGCTCTTTATTCTGTGTATGGAAATCACATTTGAAATTCTAATTTTAAAATGAAAAGGAAGAATATTCAGCTATATAGTGTTTTAGGCTGATTTAATGATAGTTTGATTTATGGGGCTCATTCAGCCTCCTTTCCTCCTGCTGTGTGGAAGGCCTGTCATGGAAACCTCCTTGCTGCTTCCTGCTGGGTGGCAGGTGGGTGCTGGAAAACAACAAACTCGGGGCATCCCTGGTGACCAAAACCCCATTTTCAGCTCTGCAGCTGCAGTGCACAACCATAACTCAAAGCGAGTGCAGCTACAAGAGACTCTTCTGCACTTGCTGTCATTGATTTCTCCACATTCCTGGCCCTAAAGGAGCCATTTGCAAACTGAATCAGAGGCTGGCATCAATTTTCCATGTTGTGCCAGCAAATCAGGTGGAAAATGTCATCTATTCATCATGTGGATGGATGGTCTGGCAGAAGAGCTCCTTGGCTCTCCCCGTCTCATTTCATAAATTTATCCACCCAAGCAGTGCCTAGTCTAAGAATGAAACAGAATGAAGAATGAAAATGTCCCAGCCTCTGATGATTACCCAGAAGTTGAGAGTGGGGCTGCCTGTGGCACAGTGTCCCAGCTGTCCCCACACCAGCTGCACCCTGGTGGTGACAAGCTGTCCCCAAGGCAGGGGAGCTCAGGGAGCACAGAACCATCCAGACCATCCCACAGAGATCCTGTGGCACAGCTGGCAAAGCTCCTGCCATACTCAGCTGTCCTCTGAGCAGCTGGGAAAAGCCACGGCGAGTCCTTGAGGGAGCTGACTGAAAGCAGTGGAACAATAAATCCCTCACAGCCTGGGTGTTTTCCCCCCACAGAGAAACCTCCTTGCTTCTGCCTCACACCCAGGGCACCTTCTGGTTGTGTTGCCACTGGTAGGACTTTAAAACCTACCAAGATGTGATATCCAGAGAGTTTTCTTTCTGCTGGGCTCTCAGATTTGTCCATCTGGAAGCAGACCTGGGCTGAGGATGGCTTTTATCTTTTACCCTTTCGCTGGGGGAAGCTGTAAAGGAAGATGCTCCTATTCAGGCACCAGGAATCCCCATCCCTGGAGGAGTTCCAGGCCACACTGGAGGGGGTTTCGTGGAAGGTGTCCCTGCCCTTTGCAGGGGGTGGATGAGATTGTCTTTTAGCTGCCTCCCAAACCATTTTGTGATTCTGTGATTCTCTATCACAGCACTAAGGAGAATTTTCTTCACTCCTCATTCCCTGTTTCCAGATGAGAGCTGAACCAGGCAGAGTGAAGCTGCACTCTTCTTCCTCTACCATATTTCTCCTACGTTTAGCTGCTGCAGGATTTGCATGATGGAAATCATTCCCTCCAGTTTAAAACCAGTTTAAAATTTACTGTGATACCTCACCCCAGCAGTGTTTCTGGAGGTCAGTGGTTTGCAATGGCCCATTTATAAATTAGCTGAGGGCAGCCAGGCTAAAGGCAGGCTGGATGAAGAAAATTCCATGTTTTGGTGGTTGATTCTAAAAAAGAAAAGTCCTAACCCAGCATTCATATTTTGTGACATTAATTGTCCCACAGATCTGGTTATGGCTGCTCATATTATGTTTTAATCAAACAGGAGAACCTGACTGCAAAGATATAACTCCCATATTGGACTTCCCTTTTATAGCGCTGGACAGGACATCAAGGTTTAATACTTCCAAATAAGCCAGTCTTTGAGAACTACAGAATAATGCTCAGCCTGCACTTTTCTGCTGCTCTGACACTAAACTGGCTTGACCCAATGGCTGTGGGCTTGGAGAAGTTGAAATTTCCCCACTTCCTTTTTTAAGTGGTTCTACTTTTGGGCAGTTTAAAGGTTTAAGTGATAACTGCAGCTGGATTTTCTCCAAATCTTTTCTGTCCTGTGGTTAGTAAGGCAGATTGTCTTTGTGCCAGAGTTCAGATCTTATCTAAAATGTACCAGAAATGCCAGCAAAGAAGAATTATTTGTGAGTAAACATGCTGTTGCTCATAATGTCAGTTCCTGTCTCCCATTTTCAGTGAAGAGCTGAAGGTTTTTATCATTTAAGAGCTATTATTATGACAGTGGATTTTTCAGCTAAATGACTTTTCAAAGCTTCCTGCCGATGCGGGTTGTTGTTGTTGTTATTGTTATTATTGTTGTTGTTATTATTATTGTTATTATTATTATTATTATTATTATTATTATTATTATTATTATTTCTCCCCTCCAAGCACCTGTTCACCCTCCCCAGAGCCTGCCGGGCCTCAGCCCCAAACATCAGGGCTGAGGTGTACGATGTCCCCTCCTCGCAGCACCGCGGGTCCCTGCTCCCACAGGTGAGTGCTGCCCCTCCCTCCCTGCAGCTGCCACCCTGAAGCACCTCTGAGCTGATCTGCAGCTCAGTTCTGCTGTCACCCCGCTTGCTTTTTGTAAAATTGGGAAGAAAATCATCTGGTTTTAGCTCAAATCCTCAGTTCTCCAGAGTTTATGAGAGATTTGAAGCAACGTGTCTTAAATCTGGTGTGCTTCTCATAAGCGCTTCCATCTTTTCTTCTGTGGGAAATGAGGGGCAGAGAGGGTGACACTATTGATGTCTTACTGAATTCTCTGTATCAGTGCAACCTCTCTGCCTCAGAATCCATGGGGAAATGCCTTACTGACAGAAAAAATAGAAGTGTTTATTAGAAATGCACCAGATTTCAGACTCATTGCTCTAAATTTCTAAGAAACTCAGGAGAACTGAGGCTTTGAGCTAAAAATAGATTATTTTCTTCCCAATTTTACAAAAAGCAAGCAGGGTGACAGTAGAATTGACCTGTCACCCTCTCTGCCTCGGAATCCGTGAGGAAATGTGTGGTGTCATTTGGTGGGGGTGACTTGGGGATGTTCAGAGAAGAGTCACAAGCGCATGTCCAGCAAGAAATTAAATCACCCCCACCACCCTGCTCCTGGGAAAAACACACCCTGGGTCTGGTCACATCACCGTGACGTGTCCTGTTGCACAATCCTGTCCTTGGTGCTGTCCCACTGGCCTGGGGTCTGTGAATGCCACATTTCCTCCACCTCTGAGGATGGGACAGGCAGCAGCCCCAGCCCCGTCCTGTCACCTCCCACACCAAGGTGTGGGTGGCACTGGAGCACCCCAGGGACCTCCCCATCCCCTGCTGCTCCCTGGCACTGCAGCCTTGAGCCCAAGCCATTATTATCCACAGATTTCCTGGGTGATCCCTGCTCAGACCCAAACATGCTCAGGTATGGCCCAAAGCCTTTGCTGCCACTCAAGGCCCCAGTGGGCTCTAAAAAGGATCAAAAGAAATAATTTGTTTTTCCCTTTGAGCAGAGTGGTGCCACTCCCCCCAGCACACGGAAGGGCTCCGTGCTGGGCAGATCCACTGAGAGCTTCCAGGCAGAGCAGAAGCAGCTTTACAACATCCCATCCAAGCCAGAAAAAGGAGGAGCTGGCAGCCAGGACTCACCAGCAGGCAATGTAAGTAAGGCTTGGTGGGCACAGAATAATTTGTCACTCCTGGCATGCCTGGCTTGGAGCAGGGACAGGTTTCCCATCTCTTCCCCATTGTTTCTTACACAACAAACAGTCCTGAATGCCCCTTTCCCAGCTTAGACTCCAGCTGCACACACACATATCTGTATCAAGCAAAATTTAAATTCACTGAAGATGCTTGAGCAGAGTCAGCGGAGTCTGTTGGTGATTTATTGCATGTGAGTGGGAAAAAAAATCAAGTGCCTGCAGATTTCACTGCTGGAGGATCTAATCACCTTTGCTCCAAATATTTTACCTTTTATACAAGCAGGTTGTGCATGTTAGAAAATAAAAAACACAGACAGCCTTTCCGTGGTGCCGTTCCATCAACATCGGTGGGGTTGGACACATTTGTGTGCTCTGAGAATTCAGTTCTGTTCTTCACTCTCATTTAAAAAGGTGGTTTATGAACCCTCTGTGCTCTGTTGCAGTTATATGATGTCCCTCCTAAAAGAGAAGGCGACGACTCAGAAAATAAATCTCAGAAGAAATGCTGGGGCCATTACAACACTTTGCCAAACCCTCGGAAGTCCGAATGGATTTACGATATTCCAGTATCCCCTGAAAACTCTGGGTTCAAACCCAAGCCTGCTGGCCAGTCTGTGGAGAAGCAGGTGCTGTATGACATTCCTCCAGCCAGGTACAAGGTCCAAGGCCCAACCAGCGAAGCCAAGGCTGGAAATCCACAGCTGTACGACATTCCACCGCCCCAGCGGAAATTACCGCTTCCAGAAATTCCCCTTTATGACGTTCCACCCTCACGGGACGTGCTCCTCCCGCCACAGAACGGCAGCTCTGAGCTGCCCCCGAGGCTCCTGGCTGCCAAGGCTGAGAATCAGATCTCTGAGGAGAATGTTTATGATATTCCCAAAGGTTTGCCCAGTGCTGGGCACTCCAAGATGGAAAAGAACAGCGATGGCTCCAGAGACCAAGCACACGGTGCTTCTCCACAGCTCTCTATGGATGCCAAGTCAGAAAATGAGAGTTTGTGTGTCTCCAGTGTGGACAGCAGAAGCAGCACTCTCTCCTCATCCTCCAGCTCTTCTGCTGAGTCGTCTTCAACGCTGTCACCATCACCAGAGCTTGTCCAAGAAATCAAACTGGAGCTGGAAGCAGCCATTGAGGCCCTGACTCGGCTGCAGCACGGCGTGTCCAGCTCCGTCGCCAGTTTAATGATCTTTGTGAGCAGCAAGTGGAGACTGCAGGAGCACCTGGAGAAAAGCCTGGAGGAGATCCACAGAGCAGTGGACCACATAAAGGTGTCACTGGGAGAGTTCCTGGCCTTTGCTCAAGCCCTGAAGGGAAACGCCTCCAACCTCACGGATAACAACCTGCAGGCCAGAATTAAAAAACAGCTGGAAATCCTCATGAACTCCTACAAAATATTGACAGAAACCAGGGAAGCTCTCAACAGCTGCAGCTGGTCCCTGGAGGCTTTGGTGCTCAGGAAGCCCCAGAACAACCCTGACGACCTGGATCGCTTCGTTATGGTGGCCAGGACAATTCCAGATGATATCAAGAGGTTTGTGTCCATCATCATCGCCAACGGGAAGCTGCTTTTCAGGAAGAACGAGAAGGAGCAAGAAAAGAAGCAACCAAAAGTGAACCTGGAATGCAAAATGGCAAAACAAATCCCAGTGCCGAGAAGAGTAGATATTGAGAAATCCAGAGAAATCCAGAGAAATGCGCCTGAGAAATCCAGCCAAAGCCGGGTGCCTGTGGAGAAAGCAGAAGAAAATTGCACTGAGGATTGTGATTATGTCCAGTTACAGGTCAGTGACACCGGGGTTTATTCTCTGTACTCCTCACCCTTTGCAGATGTTAGGCTGTTTTACCTTTGCAGTGCCACATGCAGTTTGCACTACATCCCACTTTCCAGGCTTTATGCAAATCCAGGATTTTGTGACAGTGCTGGATGGCACATGTACAATGAGCAGTAATTTAAATCAACAGAGAAAAGAAAACATTTTTATCATTCTTGTCTTAAATTCATTTGGGAAGCAGGATTTCTTTGGGAGCTGGCAATTTCTTACTTCTCTTTTCCCTCACAATTCTCTTCCTGCCACTACATTGTGTTTGGCATAACAAGAGATGTTCCTTCCTTCTTGAAGTGTCATGGAAATTGTGTTTGCACAGAAATTAAGCTCTGTTAATTATCACATTTATTTGTTGGAATAATTCTTGATGATTTTAAGAATCTCTTTAGAATCACTAGAATATCTACTAAGAATATTTCCCTTAGTTTTCCAAAGAAATGCTTGTCCATAAAATTTAGGGAATGTCACATTGAAATGTTTTGTTGATGTTGGTTTCAGTCTCAGATCTTGCAGGATCAGGTACCACATTTTTAGGAGGAAAAAACCTACAGCTCCTTCTAATAAATCCCCCATTTCTATTTGTAACATGAAGGCTACAGAACAAGTAGCTGTTTCTTTTATGAAATAAAAGTAAACCACATTTATATTTAAATACTTTATGTAGTTGTTTCAACTCTGCTTTAATTTTAATTTGTAACAGGCACAGAAAGTCATTTCAGGTAAAGAAGTAACAAACAAGAGTCAAACTCAAAGGTACTTCTGACTTTGAAAATATTTAAGAGGGTTTTTAGTCCCTGATTTCTGTGCTTGCTAAAACTCCGAGTAATTTGCATTCAGACACATATCTCTATGCATAGAGACCTATTTGCTTCTCAGAGATCATTTTCCCAGAATTGTTGCTGAAAACCTGTGACGAACACTTATTTCCCTCAATCAAACAACTCCAGTTTAAAGTCATAAAGTTTATTTTATTGCCTTTCAGCATCATTTGAGATAAGTCTGTTTCAGTATTTCAAAGTGTCAGTGTCTTGCACTGGCACAAAACTGACTCTTGTATTGTGCATTTTAATCATTCATAACCCTGATTAAGTCCATTAAAGATCAGTGTTTTGTGTTATTTGAAAGCTTCAAGGCCAGACTGTGTAAAGGATTGATGTTCAGCTGCAGCACTTTGTGTGCTATCCAATATTAAAACTGTATTTAGGGGGAAAGAAGCAACGAGGAGAACTTCCAACGCTTTCTGGAAAGAGAAATTACTGTAAAGGCTCCAAGGTGTGGCGATTTGGAGACCACAAAAATTCAGGGTAGAGCAACCAAAGAAACAACCGGGGCGAGTGACACCAGGCTGAATCTATTTTTATTTTAACCCTTTCTCCAGGTTTTGCCACGTGCAAAAAAGACTGAAAATCCCAGCAGGCAGCAGCCTGCCAGGAAATTCCCCCTGCCAGAGCACTGCAGGCTGTGCTTCGCCGCCCTGCACAAGGCCATCGGCGTGTTCACCGCCAGCCTCAGCAGTCAGCAGCCCCCCGAAATCTTCATCTCCCACAGCAAGCTCATCATCATGGTGGGGCAGAGGCTGGTGGATTCCCTGTGCCAGGAGAGCCAGGACAGGGAGGCTCGGAGTGACGTCCTGCAGAGCAGCAGCCGCTTCTGCAGCCTCCTCAAGAACCTGGCGCTGGCCACCAAGAGCGCGGCGCTCCGGTTCCCCGACGCCGAGGCCAGCCGGGAGCTGCGGGAGCAGGCCGAGCAGCTGGCCCAGTACACCCAGCAGTTCCGGGCCACGATGGACTGAGGGACGGCACTCTGCTGCTCCTGGGGCACGCCCAGACATCCCACGGGAATTCCCTGGGTGCTGGTG